GTGTTTGTTGTCCTCATATTCCAGCTTTTTGTCCTGGTAACTCAGCTCTTTGTCCTCGTAACCCAGTTCATTGTCCTCGTATCCCAGCCTCCTACCTTTGCTGGGATACTAATTGCCATTGTATCCTTCTCCTTGAAAACTCCTCCTTGCCTTCGTATTCTCTTTCTTTGTTAGGGAGTTAGAGAAGGATCATATTGATTTTATTAAGTAATGGTAATGTTTTCTCGCAGATATAATAACTTCGGTTAAGACCCACACTTTTGTACTTGTGCAATTAATGAAAGAAATTTACACCAAGTCTTTCGCACTCTCCTGAGTGCTTTGTCAAGGTCTGAGTGAGTGATTAGAACGACACTTACATCTGAACGTCTAATCAACGCTTAGAAGTTGAGATGTAAGTCTCGTCCTAATCACAGAGTAAGACCTTAACAAAGCACCGAGGAGAGAGCCAAAGATTTTGTGTATATTCCTTACTTAAATTTTCCACATTAATGCAATTATCACCAGAGGGGTAGCGAAGACATTTGTATGTGTTAGAACCAGTGGATCTTGGCAGATAAATATCCCTTATCGTCACATCTGACGTAACTATCACATACAAGCATCCTACCTCGCTCTCTTGGATCTGTGCTCAAAATTTACAGCTCTCTAAATATATTCCTGAGTATTCAAATAAGTTAAGGAAAGACCCAGTACTTGTATAAATGTATTAAAAACATAATTTTTAGAAGGTAACCTAAATCCTTATTCAAAATATTGTATACAGTGTTCTGCATACAGTATGCAGAATATTGTATACAGTATACAGAACATTGTATACAGTACACAGGACATTGTATACAGTACACAGAACATTGTATACAGTACACAGAACATTGTATACAGTACACAGAACATTGTATACAGTACACAGAACATTGTATACAGTACACAGAACATTGTATACAGTACACAGAACATTGTATACAGTACACAGAACATTGTATACAGTACACAGAACATTGTATACAGTACACAGAACATTGTATACAGTACACAGAACATTGTATATAGTACACAGAACATTGTATACAGTACACAGAACCGTGTATACAGTACACAGAACATTGTATATAGTACACAGAACATTGTATACAGTACACAGAACCGTGTATACAGTACACAGAACATTGTATACGGTAGGCAAAACATTTATACCCTCTCCAATTAAGTAACAGGCTTAACTTCCCCAAGTTAACAGGGGAGGCAGATGCAACACGACGACAATGAACTGGGATACGAGGACAAGGAGCTGGGATACGAGGACAACAAGCTGGGATAAGAGAAGCTGGGATACGAGGACAAGCTGGGATACGAGGACAAGCTGGGATTCGAGGACAAGAACCTGGGATACGAGGACAAAGAGCTGGGTAACGAGGACAAGAAGCTGCGAAGAGGACAATAAGCTGGGATACGAGGACAAGGAGCTGGGATACGAGGGAAAAGAAGCAGGGATACAAGGACAAGAACCTGGGATACGAGGTCAATGAGCTGGGATGAGAAGCCACGAACCTAGGAAACGAGGATAGGGAGCTGGGATACCAGAACAAGAAGCGGGACACGAGGACGATGAGCTGGAATACGAGGACAAGGAGCTAGGATACGAGGACAAGGATATAAGATAATAGGACAAGAAGCTGCGATATAAGAACAAGGAGCTAGGATACGAGGACAAGGATATGAGATAATAGGGCAAGAAGCTGCAATAGGAGAACAAGTAGCTGGGATACGAGGACAAGGAGCTGGAATACGATGACCAGGAGCTGGGATACAGGAACAGGGAGCAGGGATACGAGGACAAGAAACTGGGATACGAGGACAAGAAGCTGGGATACGAGGACAAGAAGCTGGGATACGAGGAAAAGCTAGGATACGAGGAAACGAAGCTGGGACACGAGGACAAGAAGCTGGGATATGAGGAAAAGGAGCTAGGATACGAGGACAAGGAGCTGGGATACGGGGACGAGGAGCTGGGATACGAGGACTAGAAGCAAAGATACTAGGACAAGAAACTGTAATATGAGGACAAGGAGCCGAGATACGAGGACAACGAGCTGGGACACGAGGATAAGGAGCCGGGATACGAGGAAAATGAGCTGAGATACGATGACAAAGAGCTGGGTTACGAGGAAAAGAAGCTGGGAAAAGAGGACAATGAGCTAAGATACGAGGACAAGAAGCTGGAATACGAGGAAAAGGTGCTGGAATACGAGGAAAAGAAGCAGGGATACTAGGACAAGAACCTGGGATACGAGGTCAATGAGCTGGGATGAGAAGCCAAGAGCCTGGGAAAAGAGGATAGGGAGCTGGGATACGAGGGCAAGGAGCCGAGATACCAGGACAAGAAGCGGGACACGAGGACTATGAGCTGGAATACGAGGACAATGAGCTGGGATACGAGGAAAAAGAGCTGGGATACGAGCACAAGGAGTTAGGATACGAGGACAAGGAGATGGGATACGAGGACAAGGAGATGGGATACAAGGATAATGAGCTGGGATACGAGGACAAGGATATGAGATAATAGGACAAGAAGCTGCGATAGGAGAACAAGGATCTGGGATACGAGGACAAGAAGCTGGAATATGAGGAGAAGGATCTGGGATACAAGGACAAGGGGCTGGGATACGAGGACAAGGAGCTGGGATACAAGGACAAGGAGTTGGGATACGAGGACAAGGAGCTGGGATTCGAGGACAAGGAGCTGGGATAGGAGGACAAGGAGCTGCGATAGGAGAACAAGGAGCTGGGATACGAAGACAAGGAGCTGGGATACGAGGACAATGAGCTGGGATACGACGACAAGGAGCAGAGATACGAGGACAAGGATATGCGATAATAGGACAAGAAGCTACGATAGGAGAACAAGGAGCTGGGATACGAGGACAAGAAATGGGATACGAGGACAAGGAGCTGGGATATGAGGACAAGGAGCTGGAATACGAAGACAAGGAGCTAGGATACGAGGACAAGTAGCTGAGATACGAGGACAAGAAGCTGGGATACGAGGACAAGAAACTGGGATACGAGGACAAGGAGCAGGGATACGAGGACAAGGAGCTCGGATACGAGGACAATGAGCTGGGATACGATGACAAGTAGCTGAGATACGAGGACAAGAAGCTGGGATACGAGGATAAGAAGCTTCGGTACGAAAACAAGGAGCTAGAATACGAGGACAAGAAGCTGGGGCACGAGGATAAAAAGCTGCGATACGAGGACAAGGACCTAGGATACGAGAACAAGGGGCTAGGATACGATGACAAGAAGCTGGGATACGTGGACAAGGTACTGGGATAAGTGGATAAGGAGCGGGGATACGTGGAAAAGAAGCTGGCGTACGAGGACAAGAAGATGGGATACGAAGACAAGAAGCTAGGATACGAGGACAAGAAACTGGGATACGAGGACAAGAAACTGGGATACGAGGACAAGAAACTGGGATATGATGACAAGAAACTGGGATACGAGGACAAGAAGCGGCGATACGAGGACAAGGGGCTAGGATACGATGACAAGAAGCTTGAATACGAGGACAAGAACCACTGAAACGAGAACAATGAACTGGGATTCGATGACAAGAAGCTAGGATACGAAGAAGAGAAGCTAGCATACGAGGACAAGAAGCTGGGATACGAGGACAAGAAGCTGGGATACGAGGACAAGGACCTGGGATACGAAGACAAGAAGCTGGGATACGTGGACAAGGAACTGGAATAAGGGGACATGGAGCTGGGATACGATAACAAGAAGCTGAGATACGAGGATAAGGAGCTGGCATACGAGGACACGAAGCTGGGATTCGAGAAGGAACTGGAATACGAGGACAAGGAGCTTGGATTCGAGAACAAAGGAGCTGAGATACGAGAACAATGAGTTGGGTCAAGGAGAACCACGTCCCGCCCTCAGGCCATTTACTGATCTTTCTCCACGATACTACCTGCAACAGCCGCCTGACTCCCAGGCGCTTATAAACTGTAAGCGTTTGTTAATTCTGCATTCCATACATATCCTGTGATTGGTCTACCCGTCCTCTTAAAAATAACGTCACTTTTGGCTCGTATGCGCGCTGTGGCCAAAAGTGGACGTAATTTGAAATGAAATCGACTCACAAAAGTGACGTACTGTTCCGTTTACTGTTTGAGTCGTCAATCTTACTCGGTAAGGTTAGAAAAGGAAACTTTCAATAAACGTTTTTCATAACGTTTTGAAACTTTATGAGAATTTCCTGCCCACCTAACCTATCAGAGGACCCTTAACTTACTGTTGTTGAAAAAACGTCCCAAATTTATTTTCATTTTTTTCAGTTTCATATTAAGTCCACTTTCAGCCATACGGGTAAACGGCCAAAAGCGACGTTATTTTTAAGAGGACAGGTTGTAAGGGTATCATATTGTCCACCCATACTCATCTTGTGATTGGTATATTGTGCACCCTTATTCAACCTGTGAGCGGTAGTACATTGTGCACCCTTGCACACCCTGTGAGCAGTAGTACATTACGCACCCTTGCTCGCCCTGTGAGCGGTGGTATATTGTGCACCCTTGTTCACCCTGTGAGCGGTAGTATATTATTCACCCTTGCTCACCCTGTGAGCGGTAGTATATTATGCACCCTTGCTCACCCTGTGAGCGGTAGTATATTGTGCACCCTTGCTCACCCTGTGAGCGGTAGTATATTATGCACACGATACTCGCCCTGTGAGCGGTAGTATATTGTGCACCCGATACTCACCATGTGAGCGGTAGTATACTGTGCACCCCCGTACTTGCCCTGCGAGCGGTAGTATATATTGTTTACCCTATACTCATCCGGCGGGTGGTGGAGAAAGCAACTCGTTCACTGGAATTGCGTAAACGGATAAAATATAGGGTGATAAAACCTGCGAACCCAACATACTCACCTAACCTAACTTACGCGTAGAAAAGACGGATGCCTGGGCGGCTGGGGTGGCTAATTACCTACATTGCAGGAGGTCGGTAGTGTGGTTGGAGCGAGGGAGTGTGAAGGTGGCGAGAGAGTCCTCGACATACCCTTCCAGGGAGCCATTGCTGGAGACTGTGTATCGGTACACCGTCTCCGGGATGAAGTTGGAGGTGAAAGCAATGATGAAACTCTGGAACGAGAGAGATAATATTTTATGGCTATGTATTCCCTGCATATTTTTAATAGATATTCATGAACCAATCTCTTGCATTCAAGATTGATTTTCCCTTTGGGAATCTTACGTTCAGCTTTGGCTGGCTATGATGTTCCACTATTATTACCATGATCGATCAGCCGAGCCGGTCGGCCGAGCGAACAGCATGCTGGACTTGTGATCCTGTGGACCCGGGTTCGATCCCGGGCGCCGGAGAGAAACAATGGGCAGAGTTTCTTTCACCCTATGCCCCTGTTACCTAGCAGTAAAATAGGTACCTGGGTGTTAGTCAGCTGTCACGGGCTGCTTCCTGGGGGTGGAGGCCTGTCCGAGGACCGGGCTGCGGGGCTACTAAAGCCCCGAAAGCATCTTAAGATAACTTCAAGATGATATTTGTAAAAATCAATTATTTGCTAACACTAATATAGTTTCGAGATTAAGTTGTAAGCAATCTGTCAGAATTGTTGGTTAAAGACTCGATCTTTGTTTAATAATAAATATTATAAACAAGTTGATGGAGTAGCATTGGGTTCTCAATTTGGTCCGGCACTTGCTAATATTTTTTAAGCTTTCACGAGAGAAATTGGCAGGACAAATATCCTCTGGATTTTAAACCAGTTATGTTCAGGAGATATGTGGAGGACACTTTTTTTATTTAAGGACCAATCTCATGTTGATATGTTTAGAGAGAATGTTAATACACAATTCTTTGTCGATTCTTGATGTCAAAGTGAGTAACCTAAAGGGTTTTAATACTAAAGTTCACTCAAAACCAACTTCTACAGGTTTAGTTTTAAATTTTATTTCATTTGTTCAGAATATTAATTTTGTAATTAATATTCTGTTCAATAGAGCTTTTGTATTATGCTCAAATTGATCCAATTTTGATCAAGAAATTCTTTATCATGTGATCCTATTTTTAAAGTAATGCTTACCCTGTTCATACGATATATACTTTTATAAGGAATTTCTTATTTAAGTTTCACCCTTCTTGTAATATTAGTACAGTAGAAAGGGATATTAATAAATACATTAAATTACCTCTCTACGGCACCATTAGTTTTGCTGTTAGAAGTCAATTGAGGAAGCTTTTACAAAACTGTTATTAAGTAGACTTTAGATTCATTTTTTGCGAATACAAATACCATAGGTTAGTGAAAAGGTCCATTTTCCTAATGAACTTCTTAGCCCCACTTTGGACGTCAGATGTGAAGTGACCAATTTTATTCCACAAGTCTAGCACCGCGCTGGGCTGCCACATGTGGGATTTTACTGGTTATTAGGAAGTGAATTCGAGTGTGTCTTCGACAAACAAATGAACACACTCCAGAGGCGTGAGCAAGACGCCAAAGATCTAAGTATTTCCGGTGGAGAACAAGGCCAAGCGGTCCACAAGCAATACCAGACCTTCTTTACTAGGGTCGTTCTCTCTGCAACTTGCGTGCAAGCAAATCTACAAGGTAGCGGATGGGTTCTTACACCAAATTTTATATTCAGTCTTTGAGACTCTAGGCCGGATCCTGAGCCAACTCAAATTAATGACATTGTCAAGTAGCAAGTGAGGAAATATGGGGGTGAGGGGGACAGTATTGTAGAATGTGGAATAACTTCAAAGGCACGTGTAACAAAATAAATGAATCTATTCAACAACTTCCTTGTTAATACACAGTGACCCACTTTAGTTACGTTACTCAAGAGTGTCACCTCAATAACTGTCAAAACACCTCACAGAAGGAATCTGATCCAACCACTCTCACAGGTGTCAGAGGCACAACAGTCATGACCCAGTGACCTTGTCTAGAACAAACGTGAACTAACTGAACACTTTGTGAATCCTCTTGACAATTACTGGACTCGCCACAGGTAGTATCAAAACACTTCACTTACACATCAAATTTACACACACGTAAATGAATACAAAAACACTGTCACCAAGACAGACACAACAACAACAAGTAATTACGTTACTTTAACACTGTCACCAAGACAATAAGTAAGTAAGTAATTATCAAAAGAAGGCACCAAACCGGGAAGGCTATGTAGCACCATCAAATACGCAAAATAATCAGAGGGCGCTAAATATCACCAAGGATGCCAATACGAGAACAAAAACGCATAAGGCGAACGATATCAAAAGTATCCGAGTCACCAAGAATTCTATCGAGGGACAGGTGACCGCGAGGGGTGGTCGGAAAGCAAGACACATGCTCGTCCTGGAAGTCAGGACATTCAAGAAGGACATGCACGACCGTAAGAGGGACAATGCAACTAGGACAATAAGGAGCAGGGCGGCGCTCCATCAAGTGACCATGGGTTAAGCGAGTATGGCCAATACGCAACCTCGCCAGAGCTGTTTCCCACCGCCGGTTACGGTGGAAGGAGGACGGCCACGAGGAAACACAACATTTAAGAGTACGTAGCTTGTTACCAGTAACAGACAACATAGAAGCCTGCCAACGGGTAAGGACTGAGGAATGGATAACCGGGTAAAAGTCGGAATACGGAATGCCTTTGCGAGAGATGGGACAAGAGCGGACAGCTTCCTTGGCGGCAGCATCCGCACGCTCATTTAAAGACACACCAACATGGCTGGGAACCCAACAAAACTCAACCGACTTAAATTTACTCTGAACGAGAAACAGCCAATGCTGGATCTCGACAACTACTGGATGAAACGGATTAAAGGACCCGAGAGCCATGAGGGCACTACGAGAGTCAACAACAACCACAAAGGAAGACTGACAATGAGAAAGCAGGAGACGAAGAGCATAGAGAATAGCATAAAGTTCCGCTGTAAAGATGCTAGTCTCCGGAGGCAAGCGACACATATAAGTGCGATCAGGAAAAACAACAGAGTAGCCAACACCGTCCGCTGACTTACACCCATCGTTGAAGACAGAAACGGAGCGGGAGTGAGAAGAAAAGTGCTCGAGGAAAAGGCGTTTTAGAACCGTAGGAGGGGTAAAAGCTTTAGTGATACGGGTCAAGGATGTACAAAACCGCGGAAGAGGGACCCTCCACGGGGGCAAAGAAGGAACAACACGAGGAGAAACATCAGAAATACGAACGGAAAGAGAATCCTGTAGGCGAGATAACCGGACAGAAAGAGGGAGGTGGTGAAGAGGAACAGGAACCGCAGGAGGGGTAAAAGTTAAAGCACGACAGAGGCGAGAGGAAGGATGTTGCAAGGACCGCGCAAGATAGCGAAGACAGTAGCGATCACGGCGGTCCTGGAGAGACAGGAAGCCAGTGTCAACATACAAGCTAAGGATGGGAGTTGAACGAAAGGCACCAGAACCGAGGCGCAACCTAGTATGGTGCAAAGCATCAAGACGGCGAAGAGTAGAAGGAGAAGCAGACGAGTAAGCAGGGCAACCATAATCGAACTTAGACAGGACGAGAGAGGAATGTAAAGCAAGGAGAGTGCGCCTATCTGCCCCCCCCAAGAAGTATGGGACAAGACCCGAAGGAGGGTAAGGGCCTTGGAGCACTCAACACGGAGGTAAGAGATATGGGGAGACCAAGACAAACGAGTGTCAAGGAATAACCCCAAAAGCTTCGCGGAATCTTTGTATTCAAGGGGATGACCATAAAGTGACAAAGAGGGACGAAGAACAACCCGTTTCCGCGTAAAAGTCATGGCACAAGTCTTAGAAGTAGAGAACTTGAAGCCATGACCTGTGGCCCAAGACGACACGGCATCAATTGCTAGTTGAAGCCGGCGTTGAAGGAGAGGCGAATCATCACCCTGACAACAAAGGGTAAGATCATCGACATAGAGAGCGGAGAAGACACCAGAAGGAAGAGAGGAAAGAAGACCATTGATGGCAACCAGAAAAAGAGTAGTGCTCAGAACACTACTGTTACGAACCCGGATCCAGCGTCCGAGCCTGGAGCAGTGACAACCACGCCATCTGTGGGTCAGCTCCCGAAACCCCCGCCAAACGGACGACGACACCTGGTGAGGACAGCGTGTACTGGCCTCGAGGACCAGTTTCCAGTCTGGTTCAGCGCTCAACACTGCCGCTCCTGACCTCTGGTGAGGTGGTGCTCCGACGACAGCGCCATCTATGGACTGGATACGTCAGGTGTTTGTGTCCGAGCCCGTAAGTGAGGTGTATTAGTGTCCCGGTTATTGATGACGTGTCTGCTTACAGAGCCGACCTGGGACCACTGTGATGGAAGTGGAGTCAGTCTACCCGAGGCAGCCAGTCTCCATACCTTGAACCTTGCTGCAGCTGTTGTGACGTCGCCCCCCCCCCCCCCCGGAAGAACACTGTGGTGTGTTAGCCTGCCAGTGGAGTGGCAGTGAAAGGAGTTACCCGGGACCGACTGTTGGAGACGATCATCCACTGGGGTACTGAAGACAGGAGAGTGACTTGTGTTGTCACACGAGGCTCCTGTCTAGGGCGTTCCCCTTTTATCGTCCGTGGAGTGGCCGTACCAGCCTTGTTGGCTCAGAACCTGCCAGCAGACCAGCTGGACGTGTGGTTGACGGCCTCCACGGCGGTGCCCCCAGTGGACCTGTGTTTTGGCTGACCTGTGGCCCGGGTAGGCTTGGCATTCTCAGAGGACACGTCGTGAGGCCACGAAGAAAGCACCAAGGACTCGGCACCGAGAGTTGTAGCACCAGCGTCTTCAGCAGAAGACAACGATTATGGATTAATCCCCTTGTATAGTGTTAATACCCCCCCCCCCCCTTGAGTAACCGTTTTATATATTATTTATTGGTGACGGACATTATATTATATTAAGTTTTTGCCTTTATTTCCCTTCCCCTTTAAGTTACTTGCGTCACGGATCGCATCCCTTGAAAGCCTCTGCTGGCTTGGGGTCGGATATAACTTCCTCTAACAACATCAGAGTAAGGACCCCGTTGCGTCCCGAGAGGGCCGTAACAACTACCCTGGGGCACACCTTCGTATTGCTGAAAAGAGGGAGAGAGAGAGCGGTACCAAGGCGCACCCGAAAGGAAC